CAAATAATACGAGAATATAATTTACAAGATAATTTCAAAATAAATGGAGAAGATTTGTATCATCATGAGAAAGATCTCATTCTTCAATTGGTGCAATTTGGGTGGACCCTACCTCACGCCCTCCTTATAAATAACCATTCCTCTTCTTCACGTATCAGCTCATCATCTCTCACTCTTTCTCATCTTATTTCTTGACATCTTTTGCCTCAAATTTAGCCATATTCTCATCTTAATTTCATTGCATTTTGAGACTGAAGTACGAGTGATTAATGGCATCTAGTTCGATATCTTCCTGTGGTGCAGCCACTTGGACCGCTAAGGAGAACAAGGAGTTCGAGAAGGCACTGGCAGTGTACGACAAGGACACGCCCGACCGATGGGTCAATGTGGCGAGGGCCATTGGTGGGAAAACCCCGGAGGAGGTGAAGAGACATTATGAAATCCTTGTTGAGGATGTCAAATATATTGAGAGTGGTCAAGTGCCTTTGCCCAACTACAAGACCACCTCAGGTGGCAATCGAGGTAGTAACATCAATGTCGAGTAGTAACGTAAAACACTACATTATTTGACGAGTCCCACAACTTTTCAATTACACATTTCATTAACTTTTATCTGATTTTAATCCCAACCAAACGGGGGCTAAACCTCGGCAGTCGGCTACTTGTGGTCCTGGGTATTAGAGAAGATAATTAGCCGCCTATAACTTAAACGTGGGTTCTTTAAAATTAGTCGGCTACTTCTGATTTTTATCTTGTTCTTTGTAATTAATTGTAACTTCATTCATGAATCATTCCGAAAAGCCTGGTCTTAAAGGGGGTCCCGACGTAATTGTCGAACTCGTAGGAAATCTAGGTTAGGTAAGCACATTTTCCTTCGCATTTTTCACGTGCTACTGATATTTGAAGAGTGTGTTTGTTTGTATTTTTCATTTTTTTTCTCCCATTGATTAGTATTTTATGTTGTTGGCATGCAGGATGAGAAATCTAAAGCCCCATTGATGAAGTCGGACGTGAAGTAAAGACGCAGTATTTTCAACAAGTTGATGATATTATCTTGTATTTGCATCTATATATTTGCTGATAATATGAAATTATTCTATGTACAATTTTGTTCAAACCTCATGATGTTTTTGTGTCTAGTCGATAAAAGACTTTTGTTCGAACATTTCCGAAGAACTTTTGTGAAAAATAGAAGGAAAATGTTTCCAACAAAGTTGAAAAATCAAAATTGAACGTACCCGAATAATCATGATGAGAGTAAGATGAGCAGTTTTAATTTCGTAATTGTCATGCATCTGTTCTTAATGATTTCCCTATGAAAAAACCTGGGAAATTTTTTTTTTTTAATAAAGATTCTTTATAACAGAAATATGAGTCGTTCTACATGTAGAGTGTGGGGTTCTATCTCACATAGAGGTGGGTCCCGCTCAATAAAAAAAATGAAAAAACATTACCTACTCCATGTGAGTTGTTGGTGAGGGTTCTGTCCTATACATGAACAACTCAAAATATGACGTCATAAGCCCTTATTTGACATCCATTTTTTCTCATTCTCATTTTTTTTCTCTTTCTTCATTTCAACCACACAATTTTTCAACAAAATAATATTGCACATAAACCCAAAAATTCTCCTTACTTTTTAACCACACATTCTTCCCTCAATCACTATTCCAAATCAAATTCTTCTTCAAAAATGGTTGTCAAACAAGGGCTAAATGGTATAAGAGTAGATNAGAATGGGTGTCAAACACTTACAGAGTATGACATGTCATCACTTACTAGAATCAATGCATTAATAACAGTTCTTCACAATAATAAGTACTTTTTGTTCTCATAAGTAATGCTTATGAGTTATGTCATGTTTGAGAGCATTCTCGAAACAACAACAAAGAAGATGCAAAGAAAATTATAAATTTGCATAACTCTGTCTGTGTTTTGACTATCAATCTGAGTTTACAAGCTAAAAGTATCATGCTAGACATGTAGTTAATCTGCTAAAGTTGTCCGAAGGGGCAGAGAACTTTCAACTTCCTTGGTCTCGGAACTCCTCTCTGCAACAACCTTTGACATGCCAAACATCTAAAGACGAAAAAAAGTTCATCAATTCCAATTAAATCCACGATAATTTATTAAAATACCACAGTTGATGGTGAAGATCGAATGGCACGAGACGATATTAAGATAATGAAGCTAAAATCTTAATCGCTATGATGTCCAGAACAAAACATGGAGTGAAGTATAGAAATTTATACCTTCTTAACCGTCTTCTGAAAGCAATTTTTGTGTTCTTCCATAGAAGCATGGATGAACTCATCAATGTGATCCCTGACATCTTCAAGAAAGGTTGCATCATCTTTCTTCTTCCTTCGACATGAAGTCAATGGCAGCTTCTCATTTGAACTTTTTTCGGTTGACATATCGTGATCCCTACCCGATTATTAAAAAAATAAAACATAGTTCAACATCAACATGACAATACAATATCACTTGAAATATGCTCTCACAATGCTAAAGCAGGAGGAAATCTCAAATTCAAGTTTCCCTTCTATTTTGTCGTGAAAATTGCGTACATGTCAACGCCTCAATACAAATATGAATTGCCCACAAGTAAAGACTAAAGAGGTGTGTTAAAAGACATAATTTAAATGCAGAAATATGTTCCCATGTAGTTTCATAATGTAGTTTAATAGCACTTGAATAATTCATACTACCAAGTGATGCGGGATGGATTGAAATTTCACCATAGGATTAATAAACATAAGATAAAGAAGAAGAGGAAGAGGAAGAGGAGCAAACAGACGGGCAAGAAACAAGCAATTTACTACATCAATTCATCATCTGTTCCAATTACTATGAAAAATCCAATAAAAGTGACGGGCTTGGGCAACCTATTACTACAAACCCAATAATAATAATTAAAAACGTAATTAATAAAAATCAACAGTAACATAAATCGTGATGTTCGCATCACCAAGAGCAATAAATAATACAGAAAGCGAGAAAAACACAGTTCAAATTAACTCTCTAATTTTGACGTTAGACATTTTTGTGCTCTCGTTCTTTTCTTATGAGACCGAAAATGAATACTTTCTTTGCAATTGTTGGCGGCTTACGCTAAGAGTAAGCAGACGATTTCTAGCATAAAGAGAGAAATATTACTCGTCCTAATACTATACTCTTTGTAAGTTTGTATAGAAAGAATATATTTGTACGACCCAACAATCAAAATACCCTCTTTAATTAAGTTGATGTTGAACCATGGATGAAAAGAAAAGTGTTAACGGAGGTTACCTGCTCGACCTAATGTGCCAAAGAACAAAATAACCATTAATATATGCGGTCAGAACTTTCCTCTTTTTTTTTTTTTTCCTCTCTTTCATATAAATCATCCATTTTATAGCTTCTTAGATTGATGCTTATTGGTTCTCAAAGACATAAAAAATGAATTAAAAAATAGACACATCATTCCACTTAATGAAGAAATTATCGAAAATGAAACAGAATTGCAAGGATGAGGGATGAGGCATACCTTGAATGAAAAATTCAGGTTGTATCGGCTGGGCGAGAATCAAAAGAGGGAAATGGATATAAATACACAATTAATTTCTAGTTTCATCTAGAAAGAGAGATGGTGCAACGATAATTCTGGAACCAGAGTTCGTTTTCCTACATGGCGTAATTTGATTGGTAATATAGGAAAAGGAATTATTCTTTTTGATGGGATGAGCACTTGATTGCAACCCATGACTCGCTTGCCTGATGGGCTTAATCCGTATCAACATTAATTTGGGCCGCCACAATTCAAGTGAGAGGCTCAGTTCATTTTCTTCCCTAACAAAATTTTTTTTTTTTTTTTTATAATGTCAGCTCAACATATATATATTTTTTAATTCAGTCTTGATTCCGCCCCTACTGCCTTCATTTTACAGTGTTGTAATATATTTTTCCTCTAATTGAAAAACTTTGTAATTGTTGTCTTATTAACTTGTTTCATCCCCCTAAGATTCAAAACATTTTGCCATCACGGATTCGAGATGACATAAAAATATATAGAGTATGTCATAATGATGGTGAAGATGCATTGAAGAAAAAGAGCGATAATTTCCCGGTGCTGTTCACATACTTGCATAATAAGTCCCCATTTAGTTCGACTAAAAAAATATAATAACATGTGGACTATGTTTCCGATGGTGTGATCCTACGCTCGATGGTAAACGAGGCTGCATTGACACCCTTTTTGTGACGAGTAATGTTATTCATCTCCAGTGGGGATGACAACACAGTCTATGTGGCTTTAAAAGATATGTTAAATCACCTATCATTTAATGCCATATTGACGCCACGTAGACTGTGTGTTTTCATCTCCAGTGGGGATGAATAGCATTGACACCCTATTTGTGATTTACATTTCCAATATATAAAAAAAAATGCACATTAGCAAGAATATATAAAAAGAAAACATATTTTACATATGCAAGAACACTCTTCAGATAGAAAAAAAGACAATAATAGTAGCTGTATTGGACCAAAATATATATAAGAGCAAGTCACATTACTCGTACTGAAACTGAATCTAGGAATGTGTAGTCATTGACAAGAATTTAGGTAAAACAACCAAAACGTAATAGGTAAATCCTTTTCTTGGACCTGTCCAACAGAAGACTTTTTATGTGGAAATGATTAAAATGTGAAGTAGAAGCAGAGGATAATGATTCATACCAATGATACGACTGAATAAAAAAAAGGAAAATACTTCACAAGCATATACTACTAGAATAAGAATTCATCTACAATAGACAACATGACCATGCATGCATACATTGCAAATATTTCTTTTTATAAAGTCGACTTCTCCACTTCCAATATATCCAATTCTACATCTTGTCAAACACAACATAATTATCATCAAAGAGATCTCTCAAATTGACGGCTCAAATGCATTCACAGGTACACATCATAAGCGTACACATGAACCATTTATAATGCAACCCCCTGCAGCTTTAATACTGCCTCGACTGGCTCCCAGTGTGCCTCAACAAATCAGCCTACAAGACAATGGAAAATAAAAACCAGATGGCCTTTGGACGAGAAAAATATATTTCTTAAACAAGCAAAAGGCAGTACTATCTTCTTCAATTTGTTTCATGATAACCATCATTATGGATATCACTTGCTCCTTTCCACAAAGATTGACGTATAAAAATTGAAGAAAAACCTTGACTACAGGACACAAGAATAAAAGGAGGCTGAGAAGTGGGGCATTTATAATAATGATTGTTATACATTATATAGACCCCATGGCAACTAGCCAAGGCCCCTTCGATGGTTCTTATTAGAAAAGAAGTGGTAAAACTACAATTATTAGATTGGATAGCTTTCAGGAGAATGATTTTTATATATAAAGAAATATAAATGTGTGTGTGTTCACAAAAATGAGCACAGCTCGTTAGAGATCCCTCTTCTTCTTTGGAAGAGAACGTAACTGTCTAAATTGATCACAACAATTAAGATACATTCTTCTATTAACATCTTTAACGATACCCTCACAAATAACAAAAAAAATATAAACCATGGAAGTAAGGAAAAAACGAGAATCAAAATTAAGGATTTGAAATGTCTATCATCAAGCCCTTGTTTGAGCCCCATTTTGAGAGAGAATACATTTTTGAATAGCAATTTTTGGAGAATAAAAATGAAGAATTTTTTTTCGATTTATGTATAATATTATTTTATAAGAGAATGTGCGGTTAAAAATGAGTTTTGAAAAAATGATTTTTTTATAAAATGGGGATTCAAACAAGGGCCAAATATAGTATTTGCAGAATGGTTTTCATGATTACTTAATTGTATAAACAAAAAAAAAAATCCTTCTGAATCTCAAAATCCCTAAAAGTATAGTGATATCACTTCCGAAGCTTAAACCTTGTCAGTAATTTGAACAACTTTCAATCCACCATCCCCAATAAAAGAAACCAATGTTCAAGAACTGGGCCAAAGATCTAGAGACCAAAGCCATTATATTTGAGTTGGGATTCAAAATTTTCACCGACTTCTATAACACAATATATAAGTTGTATCAAAAGAATGTGGCATTGTCACTACAAAATTGCAAACCAACATGGAGTACTATTCAATATTGATAGTACCTAATTTGGAACATTTTCCTACATGGAAGTTGTTAATATCAAGTTGTCAACCAGAGTAACAGACTTCATATTTTCTTCCTGATGCCTAAAGTAACTACGAGGCCTTATTTACATTAGATGTTGAACCATAAAATGAGATCAAAATCAGCAGCCAACGTTATGTAAAACAAGATGTAAAGAGCCTTCAAAGGACTTCGTTTTAACAGGAACCATGGTAATGAAATTCTACCTCAAATGCATTTTTCAGATGATCAAGCTCCTTATCCAGATCGTTGATAGCCTGATTGTATGCCTGCATAGGTGAAGATTGGCTGGTAGTGTGAATCTGCACATTGGCCATTAAAAACATTAAAACCCAGAGGAAAAAAAGTACTGTCTGGCACAATTAACCTAATAAAAAATGACAAGATAAAAAGAGTATATCCGGAATTTCAGATAATAAAGGAGCTAAATACAAAATGAAGATTTATAAGCATTAAAAACTGATTATGTCAGTTTTTTATAGATTGTGAACATCGGGAAGATTCCTTTTTCTCGAACTGAAGAAAGATAAATCAGATGGTCTGATACCATGAATTGTTTGGAAATTTTTACAGAACGCTGCATCTCTGTGGCAGTTTTACAGTGACCACAATGATTCACGCGTTTAGAAGCATTTTACTTCTAGAACCACGGTGAAATCTCAATGTGTGTTACACAAATGGGGTTCTATATCAACTTCTACAAGGTAAACAATTCAAGTGAGGTATTTCTTTATTTCTGCTTGTTAACAATTTACTAATACCCTTGATGACTCTTCTTTAAAGTGGTGGTGGTGGTGGGGAGCCTGGATTTATTACATTCTAAGGCACTGCGGCACTGCCTGCATTTTATACTATGATGTAGTACATTTTTTTTCCTGCCAGTGTCCTTTTAATCTCATAAAAACACAAAAATAGAAAATCATCTAAACATAGCTACATACATGTTAAAATCCCAATGTTTCAAAACACAAAGGCCTCCTCCAAGTAAAAAAATAATGCTACTAGTAACAACTATAGACAACAGACTATCAGCAACAATGATGTATATAGTGGTAATAATTGAAATATGAGTTTTGCAAATCTTTTCTAGTCTCCTCTCCTCTTTAGTTGAACAGCATTCTAATTGTCATCTTATTAACTGGCTTCATCCCTAAGATTCAATATATAATAACACATGTTGCCATCAGGGACTCAAGACGATATAAAGAATATATACTGTGTCATAATAATGGTGAAGATGCGTTGAAGAACTGAGTGGTAATTTCCCCGTGCTGTATACATACTTGTAAACTCTATATCTTCAGGTATATTGTTAGTAGGATATCTTGCCATAACAAAAATGAACAGTTACGATCAATAATTTTAATTTTTTGTGTGATAGTAGGCTCTTCTGTTTTTGATATAGTCGGGTCAGAATAGATTGACAGTCACAATAGAACTCCGGTAAATTTTATGATGCAATGCTCATAAACATATCAATTGGACCACAATGAATCAAAAATAGTGGTGAAGAAAGGATCCGTGTAGCCCAGCTATTAGGACTAAGGTTTAGGTTGGTATTGTTGTAGTAGCATAGTGATTGGCTCCTCTAAGCCACATCGCAAATAAAATAACAAAACAATAACTAAGAATAAATGTATAGTTAAGTAACAAACCCTAATAATGATTTTGTACTTAAGGGGGTGAGGCAACTTGTAGCCAGCAAAGAGTACATTCTCGTCCCTGTGTAATTGCCTGTGTAATATTTTTTTACAGAAAACAAACAAAAGTATTTTAGCATTGGGATTTTATGCAAAACTCAAAATATTTATTTAAGAGTATAAGAAAAAGATATAATTACATGCGGACTATGTTTCCGATGGTGTGGTCCTCACGCTCGATGGTAAATGAAGCCGCATTGATAATCTTGGTGTCTCTCTCATATGAAACCCTTTTTGTTATTTACATTCCAGTCAGAAACAGCATTAGTGAGAATATGCAAAACAGAAAATCTAATTGTACATAAACATATGAATACATCTAATTTGAGTGAGAAAGAGAGAACGTGTGTACTTGGCAACACCCTCAGGGACAACAAATCGCTCATATCGGTCAGGGGCATTCATGTCTTTGCAGTTTGACGAGCACTAGTCTAAAGCAGTGCAGGGGATTCAGAGACTTCTCCTCACCTTTTAAGGCGATTACCTTGACAGAGATGCCTTGTAAAGTTTTATCCCTTTGTCCTTCCCTCGTTATTGATCTTCAATTCAATAGATAAAATGAAACGAAAACGCAATGTTACTTAAAATTGGGACTTCTAGTTTTTCCTACAACTAATTACAATAGCAAGGAATTTTGATCGATAAAGCAAATATAAACATTTCTCTTTAGGTGCATAAAACTTTTTAAATAATTAAAAAAAAAAGACAATATAATTGCTGTATCGGACCAGAATATAAGAGCAAGTCACATTACTTGTACCGAAACTGAATCTAGTAATGTTGAGACATTCCCAAAGAATTAGGAAAAACAGGCAACTAAAAAATGTTAAACCCAAAACACAACAGTTAAACCAAGAGAATGATCAGCTAGAGCTAATACAAGATAAGTTGCCATCATTTCATCAATCAATACATCATGAAATTCATCATTTCATCCTCTGAGACACACCAACAAAATGTATTAATCCACTAAACTAATAAATAGTATCATGCAAAAGAATTCTTCCCCTTTCTCTTTGTCTATTGAAATGATAAAGTCAGTCAATCGCGGTTTGATTTGAAAATTTTAAATATTAACAGTATACCATCTCTGGGTAGTGAGAAACCCGACCGGCTAGAGCTAATATATAAGAAACTAGCCATCATTATCAGTTATCAAAACACAGTGAAGATCATCATTTCATTCAAAAAAATCCAGATATCCTCAATTTAATAGTTAAATATGTAAAAAAAATCCAATAATAAAACGCCTTAAATAACACAATCTTCTATACACATACACATCACTACAAATGCCCATAGTAGTCATAATATAACAACGAAATTCCTAAAATACACACAAAAGACCCTACGTACAAATAAAATTGTGCGAATAATAGACTAGAAAACTGTAAAGGGCGATCACCTGAGGGGAAGATTCCGAGTGCTAGAGCTTTTAGGGTTTTAGAGCAACGACGATTATTGGATTTGGGAATCGAGTATTTATATGGAAGGTTCAGTGTGTTTTTTATTAGTGCCACTCTCAGTGTAAAACGTATTTTGATTAAAAAATAAAGAGAAAAAATTTGTGTATAATATTATTTCATTGAACAATGCGTGACAAAAAAAAAAGTATTTTAAAAAGAATTGGGATTAAATTTTTTTTCATATTAATTAATTAATAAAATCTTGTTGCTCTATTTTGCCCACCAGGAAAGTTAATAGGTCGAGCAATTTGCGGACGTGGGCAGCTCGGTTTCTCTTTGAAATGATTCGTGAATCGTGTCGAGCTACATTTTTTTACACGAGTTGACTCGTTTGGGCTCTTGATTGGCAAGTTCTTTATTCCTCATTTTAACCCGTTTTATTATTTTTTCTAAAAAATGTTCATTTTTAGGTTTGTTTGGTTCATTTATTTTAAAACAATGAGCCGGCTCGACTCAACTCCGTTCGATCTATTGGGGTGGGCGGCTCTGCCAGTAATTCCGTAAAGCCCATAAGTCAAAGGGAATCACAAGATTTGAATATGAGTCGAACTCTAACTTGAACTTTGCTCTCAACTCAAGTTTGAGTGTATACAGAGTGAGCTGACTCCACTTGATCCATTGCTATCCCTACCCATGGGTTCTCCATTTATTATTGAATGAAAAAAAAATGATATTTATTTAAAATTAAAATGTAGGGCGAGACTTGTAACAAGATTCTCCCAAACTTCTTGTATTCTTCCACTATCATCTCCTACTTGATTAAATCTTTCAAAATACTTACGGGTGAAAATTTTTATCTGAAACCACCAGATTTGAATCAGAATTGAATAAAAATCAATTGGTGGCTAATTTATTCTAGTTTCAGTTGAAATCGATTCAATTTTCGATATTAAGGACGTGTTCGCTCGTACTCAAAACCCAATTAAAATTAAAAATATAGTCGTTATTAGGTTTCACTCGTCTAATAGAAGTCAACAATAACGGCTAGTTTTTCAATTTTAATCTCTACCGAACACGCCCTAGATTCAAGAATCCAACAGTCCTAATCCAGTTTTTGGTTCTAGCTAAACCAAATTTTGATTTGGCTCCAAAAATATATTCCTATAATATCTCAATAAAAAATAAAACGTGAGAGTAAAATTAGAAATTTTATGCGACGATGTAGTCTCAAAATTTATTTTTGGAGCAAAAAAAAAAAAAACTCGAACCATAATCAATGGTTCCGAGAGAAAAATAGGGAGTAAAACTAATGCTTTCATTGTCATAATTCTCAATGGAAGTAGGTTTGATACGATTATTGAGACACCAATGTCCGTCCTTAATTATTACTCACGAAAACTTAACACTTGTTTGATTCTCATTTTATAAAAACTCATTTTTTTTCAAATCTCAATTTCAAGCACGCATTCATACAATAAAATATCTTACACGTAAATTCAAAATTTTTTCTTACTTTTTATTTATTGGAAATATTTTAAATATTTTACGTAATTATTGGTACTATTCAAGAATGAGATTAACATAAAGAAAGCAGATATCATAGAAGAATGCAAAATGAGTTACTAGAGTAATTTGCACTTTGTTTTAGGCATATAACGAATAAGTGTATTTTGGGTCCGTACAAATCGATATATAACCCAACGTAAAATTGCTAAGATCCATTGCTAGAAATCGCGGCGTTAACGATGGATATTGCTATGGATAATGGTCGATATCGTTGAAAATCCTATTTTATAGACGATTTTTTTTTTCTGTCTGTACATACCAAAGATAAAAGTCGCGTCCATAAAAGTTCAATAATAGATTTTGTGAAATCCCACCAATAAAGTCGGACATGCTTGTAATTGGATGTCCCATAATATTCTTACTTTCTATAGATATATTTTACAATTTAACCAAGTCACTGTCTATGAGTCATTGGCTTATTTTTCAACACGCACGCGGTTAGGGACCTAGTTTCTCCCATTGCTTGAGAGCTTACAATTTTATGTTATATTTTGCTCTTGATGGGAGACGAACGAAAGTTGGGCCTTTAGTTAATTCATCACTAGTCCGAATTATGATAGCGACGATTCTCCAAATCCGCCGATAGTTTGAGATAAGGGAACATGTGTAGAAAATATAGCCACTACGATTGGAGATAAAATTGTATTAAATTATACGTTGAATTAATTAGATGATCTCATCTATATTTTGGATATGGTCAGATTAAATCGGCCTATTGATTACAAACATATTTAATTTTAAAAAAAATTAATTTATTTGGAAACTAAATACATATAAATCGTTAATCACCTTTTTAAAAAAATGTAATTTTGCTTATAATTCTTGTATAAGAATTCTTTTGAGAAAATTAAAGCCAGTTTCTTGTAGCTAGACAAAACATTTAAAGAAAATTATTCAAACAAATTTAGTTTTAAAAGCAGTTTATGACTTTTCAAAAATCTGACCAAACGAACCAATAGTATTTTATTATTCTGATTTTAAATTCAATTAAGTATTAGGCGTAATTCAGTCAGCCCATATAGAGTCCATCTTGATGGCCCATTAACTATTGGCACGCTTTATGGGCTTTTATATGTACATTAGCTCTACTGCCAAGTCCATTATTAGCACCAGCATTGAGGAAGACAAATACTATAGCTGACTCGCAAACTTCTAGACATGGTACTAAAATTAAATTTTTCTAAATTATCTTTTGGTGAAATCCAATTCTTCTCTTCACTAAATGAAATTTTTTCACCATTTTTATTAGTAAATAAATAAATAAATAAATATATATATATATATATATAATGAAACTAAAGTGAGTCTTGTAAAAAATGTAGATCGACCATATAAATTTTATTGTATGGCCACAAATTAAAAAAATGGATGTACAACCTTTTATAACAAAGAAAAACAATCATCAAAATCACAAAAATTGTAAAATATCATAATTGAAGAGAGGAGAAATGGAAGAACTAATCAAATATTTAAAGCTGTACATTAAAACTAATTTAAGTTGTATCAGCTTGCTTGGATCCGAGACTTGCACTTGGCTTCCCGTGACTTCAACTCTAAAACTTCAAGGTAAGATTGTAGATTCCAACAAAAATAACCACAACAAAGTTAATAATCAATAAATCGAATCCCATACTTCTACTCTTTTCTCTTTTCCAAATGTTGCTAATAACTCTTGGAAGGTAATAATGGACAAATATTCCTAGCACTCACATCTCTTAGACCAAAATTTTGTCCATAACCCTCTCAAATTCATTCTTTCATACAACCGATTTCTATATTATACACAGTGCTTATTTGAGGTAGATTGTCTGAGAATAAATTTTGTGAAAAGTAATTTTCTTTTGAAATTCACGTGATTAAAAAGTATGAAAAATTATGAATTCACAAACAAAATTATTTTATTGGGAATATTTTAGGATTAAAAAAATAAATTTTAAAATAGAATAGATTATTAAATTAATCTAAGATTGCTCGAGATTTAGCATGTCTTGTTGTAGTGGATATGTTGAAATTTTCATGTGCCAATGTTTGCCCTAAGCCTAAAATCCCAATCTTTAGCAGATTATTTTTAATCCAATTGAACAATGTTTGTCACCTAGTTGTCTTGTCAAAAATCGGTCCCCCATTCCTATCCTTTTGAGAACATTAATTTAAAATATATATATATTTTTAATTTTTTTAATGTCAATGACCTTTAAACAAAAATATCCTATAATTATCAGATGCCAGAGATGAGGTGGAATGAGTTCGTTATCCTTTAAATTGCTGCAATGTTGCATTGGAAAATCTTGATTTTCAAAAGAAACCGACATGTAATAACATTAACAATTTAGAAACCGACATGTTCAGCCATATTCAATATAGATATCGAGATCTTTTTCGTCGTTCATGAAATATTTCATGAAAGAAAAGGTATTATTTGCACTTTTCGCATTTCAAGTGAAGTACACTGAACCTAGTAAATTTGTTGCATTCATAAGAATAACGTAAATTTATTGCCAAAAATAGAAGATATAGGAAAATGGTAAAGATATTTGTACATAATTTAATGTATTGAATTGTTTATCCTCTAACATGCATACGGGCCCTGCGTGAATAAAAAAATCTCGAGATGTGATCTCCACCTCCTATTGTGAGTAGTCGATAAGGGATTAGATAAAAAAATTTGGTACATGTAACATTGTTCATATGAAAAATTAACAATAGGCATTCGACTGGTGATGAAAAGTGGCACACGACTTATAAGTAAAGAATAATGGTATTTATCATTATGATGATGAAATATCGGTACTTTGACAGTTTATGTTGAATAATGAGATTTGACAGTTCAATTTTTATGAGAGATGATGAATTGTCACATCACTATTATTTTATTATTATGATGATAAATAAGTAAATAACATGACTCAGTAAGTGAAAAAATGGGCAAAGATTTGGGTGGTTTGAACCAGCTCATAGATTTTAGACTGCAGCCACTTGCATGATTGGACATCATACAAAGCAGCAACTTGAATTAAAAGACGCAATTTCAGTCCCGAGGGATTCCCCTTTTTTCTTCATTTTTCATTTAATAAATGTACGGAATATGAATAAAATAAATTTGTAATGGTAGTTCAAAATTTCAATTGCTGTGTAAATGCTATCATGAAATTCCGTAATTAATTTTATTGTATAAACTCACCCTTAAAACAAACTTGTAAAGAAATTGTGTAAATTGGTTAAAAAATTACAAATTAAACCTTTTTTTTTAATAACCGTGGATGTTCGAGCCAACTTGCGCGCATTTCGACTAATTCCATGGGGTCTTGAAGTTTACGGTCTGGTACTCACCTCAGTGGCCTTGAGGGAATTCGAACTAGTGATCATTGGGAAGCAAACCCAAAAACTAACCAATTGAACAATCCCTCAAGGTTTACAAATTAAACCTTAGTCTGACAATGTGCCATACAATTATGGAAAATTTACACTTCATTCTCAATCTTTACGAAATGTAAAAATCTATCCCAACCTTTTCTTAGAATGAATTAAATTCTCAATCTTTTAATTATGTAGCAAATTAATTTGTTAATCCGACCATTTAACCCTTATTTGGTTTACTTAAAGATCATACTTTATTTAGATTTCGACAAAAGCTAACGAATTTTATGATTGAAAATATGTGCGATAAAAAATGAAGTTTTAAAAAAATATAGCTAGACGACAGATTTGCCCAATTGTAAATAAATAAAAATAAAAAGAAAATGGTAAAACAACAAAAAATAAGGAAAAAAATTGTAAATGGAGTTCAATAACTTTCAAAAAAACTTCAAATGAACCTCGCTTAAAACAATTAAATATATATTAACACATAAAAAAAAATTACAAGAAAAATCGACCAGATAAAATCTTAGTTGCCTACCTAAAACATTGGCAACCTGCACCTCGGAGATATGCATTTCTTCGTTCTACTTGTGATCTTCTTCATAATTTTACTTTGTTCGACAGAAAATTTTCACCTCGAATTATATTGAATAAAAACCACCTAATCTTTGTTGCGGACGATCCACCAAAAATGCTTTTTACATGAATTTTTTTTTACACGTGATTGAGATACACTCGCACGAGTTACGAGGAGATACTTCCTCGGAACTTTGGATCTGGTGCTAAACCTGATCGGTTTCATTGGTCCCCAATCACCTCCTCTTTATTTCTATTTGTTGCCTCAATTTCATCCCATTCAGGATAGGGTTTTGAGGGGACATATTCAATAAACTACTATACATTATCAAGTTTGTATTCTTGTTTTTTTTTTTCCTCCTATTTTGCTATTAATAACTCAGAGCTGTCAGCCTTATATAATAGATTACTAGAAATATGACTCTTCTCAAACGCCAAGAGTTCATTCTTACAAGTTCCCTCACTTCGGAATTCGATGTACTCTTAAGGATAGTCGAATACATAGAGTTGAACAATAGTAAAATAAGAAATAGAAAGATTTCGTTGAAATTGTTCGTTTGAAAATTTTCCGAAAAGCCTCCACTCGTTACTTACTTTAAATTATAATAATGTAATATTTTCTATCAAATTATTAACGGTAAAGTAAATGACCAGGGGTGGACCTACTTGAGGCCCAGTGGGGCCTACTGTCCCCACTCAATTTTCAGATTTTTCTTCAGATTTTTAGTTTTCTTGTCCAAGTTTTTTTTTAGGTTTTCAGATTTTTTTCAAATATTTTTTGGTTTCGTCCCCTCACTGAACTTGCTTCATGGGTCCGCCCCTGCGATCAGGTAATGTGAATAGAAAAGTTATGACATTGAATTACCTTTTTGTGAGCACATTCCGGTTCGGTAAAGATCGGCCCAATTTTGATTTGCACGTATAGGACATCACGACGTTACTGTAACTCTTGCGGTGCATTAATTTCGTCTAAAAGGCTAAGCTTCAGCGAAAATCATTTCGTGCATGCATACGGCATAGCACTGTATTAGTACATTGTACTTGGCTCTAGGCAATAAAAGCATAAAGATAGAAAGGATATGAGCTGGGAAATAAAACTCAAAAGAAAAATAGTGGCACTGCATGAATAGTTAATTTTCTTTTGAATTACTAGACATTAGAAAGTGATAGAAGCATTGAGATAAAGACAGATCACATTTGGTTTGATTTTGGCACAGGGGCCATTGGTTCACCGCACTCCTATATATTCGCAGATAAAGTTGAGGGGGCCGGGCCGGGCCCTATGGGGGATAGTGGGAGTTGCCTTCATCTTCTCTGTACTTGGGTTCCACCACACTATCTTTGGTACCCCTGCTCTCAATTGATTTAAATGCATTAATTTCATTATTCAACTAAGCCCGGGGTGGACGTAGAAGTTTAAAGTTATGAGTGCACAATCGAACTTGCAAAGAAATTGAGAGAAATTTTACAATCGAAAAATTACGTCCAAAAAAATCATACTCATGTAATTTTGCATCTGAAAAT